TGTGGTGCTGGCATAAGGATACACAGATCATAGATCAAGGGAATAAGATTAAAAGTCCCAAAATAAACTAAGATACCTATGGGTAACTGGTTTTTGACAACGTGCCAAGCCCATTTGATGGGGAAAGAACAGGTTTTCCAACAAATGGTGCTGGAATGACTGGATAGCCACAAGAAAAAGAAACAGTACCTCCATACTTCATATCATATCTAAAAATTAGCTCACATGGATCAAAGACCTAAATAAAAGAGCTTAAACTGGAAAACCTAGGGGTAAGCCTTCACAACCTTGAATTTGGCAAAGGATTCTTAGATGTGACACCAGAAGAAAAAGCAACAAATGTAAATAAATTGTACTTCATTGAAATTAAAAACTTTTATTCTTCAAGGGACAACATCAGGAAACTGAAAAGACAACCCACAGAATAAGAGAAAATATTTGCAAATCATATATCTGATAAAGGACTTGAGGACACATAACCCAATTTAAAAAACGGGCAAAGGATGGCCCACCAAAAATGGCCACAGGATTCCATTCATATGAAATGTCCAGAACACGGAAATATAGAGACAGAAAGTAAATAAGAGCTGGGGATAAAGAAGGAGGGAGGGGTATTAGGGAGGGGAAAACTGAAAGGCATGGGGTTTCTTTTCAAGATTAAAAATTTTTTTTTCTTTTTATTAACATGTATTATTTGTCTTAGGGGTACAGGTTTGTGAAAAAAAAATGGTCTAAAATTAACTGTGGTGATGGCTGCACATACCTGAATACATAGAAATACATAGTACATTTTAATGGGTAAAATTGTATGGTATGTGAATGCTGTTAAAAAAAGCCAATCATACTTTCATTTTTCTTCTGTTGTTTTTCAAATTAGTGTACAGTGAGTTTACCTACAGAAAGTTTTATATTTAACTGATTTATATACCAGTCTTTCTCCTTGTGATTTCCGGATTTGATATCAGCTTAGTTATTTCCTGCTCCATTATTAATTGATATCACCCTGTCATATTTTATGTTTTCTAGAAAATAGAACATGGATCAGTTACTTCCCTCTTTGGTTTGCCTCCAAGTTCTCTTCACTTCACTTCTATCCTCCTGCTGCCTGTGTTACCACCTTCTCCTCAGCAGACCTCATTTCCACCCTCACACACAAAAAATGGGAACCTCAAATTCCTTCTCACAACCTACCCCACTCCCCAAAACTTACCAGAAGTATACCATCCATAGCTCTTAGCCAGGCTAAATTCTCTCTCCACACTTAATTTGAATTCCATCCTTTTCTGCCTTCTTGCTTAATCATCCCTTCTCTCTGGTCTCTTCAACTTCTCCATCTACCTATCTCCCAAGTGTACCAAGTTTATCCCTTAAAGAGTCAGCCCCACAAAATTCTGTTGTCTCCCTCCATTATTTCTTGCCTTCCTTTTGCAGGGAAACTTCTCGAAAGTACAACGCACACTCAATATTTGTTTTCCAAGATCATTGCCAGCTCTCAGTTTCAAACATTCATCATTTTTCATCCCGGATACTGCAGACTGACTTCCCACCAAAGTCATTGTCTATATTTGGGATTTTTAATTTGGTATCCATAATTGGACTGCAAGGGACCACAAATCTGAAATTTTATGTACATAAGCACTTTTTTGGGAATAGTTTTTATAAGACTTAAAGAGTGTAATGACCTCAAATGTTACCTATTTTTCTCAAGGAAGGCAGAATGACTTTTTAAAATGCAAATATGATCATGTCATTGGCTTGTCTTTCAGTATTTCCCCATCACCTTGAAGATAAAACCCAAACTCTCATGGCATGCAAGGGCTCCTTCCAGATGTGGCTCTTACCTCTTTAGCATAATCTTTCATCACTATCCCTAAGTCCTCCCCCTACACAATTAGCATCCAGTCACAGCCTACCAGGTATGCTACATCGAACTCACACTCACGGCCTTTTAGCATGCTTCTCCCTCATATGACATCACCCATTTACACCTCTCTGAACTGGTCCTCCAAGACTCTCAGATTTCAACAGGAAATTATTTTCTGTTCTTTTCTTAAGTGTCCCTTTTATTTGCATCTATGGCATCCTGTGTATATCTCTACAGTGACTTTTATCACAATTATAATTATTAAGTTATTATAATTATTAATTTATCTTTCTTCCCTATAAAATTATAAACTCTTTTAAAGTAAGGATATCCATTTTCTATTTCTCGTGTCTTACATATTTCCTGAGTAAATCATACCTCATTCTCTTCTCAAATCCTGCAAACATTCTAAATTCAATATTTTAACCAGTCTATGATTGCCAGATTTAACGGTCTTTTTATTCCTTACCTAACTTAGACTTTGTAGTCCTTATCAGTAACATTTGACATAGTCTATCATATCCTCTTTCTTGGAATATTCTCTTCATTTGCCTTCCTAGATTCTGTTATTTGGTTCTTTTCTTACCTCACCAGCTGTTCCCCGAGTATCCTCTTTACCCTGACATTTAAATGTTGGGAGTGCCTCAGCAGTTAGTCCTCAAACTCTTCTTTATTTATACTCACTATCTAGAGGACTTGCCAGTTCCATGATTTCAAGTCTATTTGCTCACAACTCTCAAATTTGTATCTGGTTACACAGGTGGGTTTGCTTTATGAAATTTAACAAGCTAAACACTAATGATCTGTGCACTCTTTCATTCAAGTTTTACAGTTCAATAAGAGGTTAAAAGAAGAGAAAAAAGCAAAAAAGAGAGTAATGACTAGAATAATGTTTAGAATTGTTGAATCACCATATTGTACACCTGAAACTAATAACACTCTATGTTGATTACACTTCGATATAAGAAAAAAGAAAAAGGAAAAAAAAAATGGTGATGAACTCTTTAAAACGAGCCTCATAACCCACCCCAAAGCAAACTTCTCATAGTCTTCCTTTTCTAAGAGTAAAACCCATTCTTCTAGGGCTCAGGCCAAAAACCTCGAGAGCTCCTTCCACTTTTTCCTTTAATTCCAGTTAATCCATCTGCAAACTGTCAGCTTTGTCTTCAAACACATCCCAAATATGAATATTTTCCACATCTCCCACTGTGATTTGATGTCTCAACTGCAATACCCTCCCTAATTGGTGTCTGCTTATAGCAGTCACGGTGGTCCTTGTAAATACACATCAATCACATCATTTCCTCTTGCTTCCTAACCCACTAATCCAAGGTTAAAGTCCTTTCCGTGGTCTCCCAGGTACCACATGATCTGGTCCCAGCCATCTCTCTGACCTCATCCTCTGCCCTTCTTTCCTTTGTTTCACTCTGCTAGGTCACCTTGGCTTCTTTGTGGTTCCTTAAACACAGCACATGACATTGTATTTCAAGGCCCTTGCACTTGCTGCCCCTCTCTCCAAATATTCACATGGCTTAGTTCCTTAATTTATTCAGATCTCAAATGTCATCATCATCAGAGAGGCCTTTCCTTTAGCTCTTTTAAAAGCAGCAACACTACCCTTTCCTTATGTCTGTCCAGGCCTTAATTCTCTTCACAGCACGACCACCTGACATTTAATGTATTTGATTATTGTCTTTCTCCCCCAGTCAGAATTTAAGCTTCATGAGAGCAGAGACCTCAGCTATTTTCTTCACCAGAATTGCCAGTATCTACAACCTTGGAAGGTGCTCAAAAGTATTAGGGAGTGAATGTGGAATGAATTTAATACCGCCTGTTTGCTATTTCTGAAATTCTACTTTCCCCAGCCAGTCTTTCCTTCTGCTCCTTCACTACCTCTTAAACAGAGGCTGCAATCAGTACCAAGATTTTACAGACGGATATTAAGACAAGGAGTATCTTAAACTTCAAAATAATAAAAAATCAGTTTCTAATGGAAAAAAGCCCCCCAAACCCTAGATTTCTGCAGAGTAACTTAACAATGTGTTTCTAAACGCGTTCCTGATTAAAGGAAGCTGTCCTGGCTCCCAAGAAGGGATCCGGACAGGACATCCAGGTACGGCTGGAAGATGAATTATGTAGGGGACTCCGTGAGATGGGCCACGGGGACTTCTGAAGTGACGAGCGTCTGCGGAATTCTCACAGATGACAACCGGCAGCAGCAGTTAACTTACACCGAGAGCTCTCCGTGTAGGTACTCCGTGCGCCGGGCACATGCATCATCTGACTAAACTGCACTTCTGGGGAGGGGCACTACTGTCGTCTCATGGGACCGAGGAGGACAGAGCCTAGAGATGACAGGGCCGACGCGCAGTCACTGGGCCGACCGCCTCCAACAGAGCGACGGAGAGCGAAGCTCTCAGCACTCGCTCCCAGCGCTCCTCGAGCAGACGCGGCCAGAACGGCCGCGAAACGCGCGGGCGGTGAGAAGCTCAGCGGCCACCCTCTGCCCGCTCTTCGCCGGGAGGCTGGACGGGGCTGTGCTCGGGTCACCGACGTGGCCAGTTCTCGGACACAAGAACTCTGGCGTCCGCAGGGCATTCCAGGGGAACGCTCGCTCCCGGGCTCCAAGTCAGGTGCCGGTTACAAGTCGTCCCACTCCGGAGACCGCGGCTCTGCCCGGCGCCCGCAGGCTCCAGGACAGTGTCAGGCTCGGGGTGTGCATTTAGGACCCGCTCCCGCCGAGCCCCGGCCCCGCAGCGGAGGGAGAACCGGCCCACCACCTCCGCGGGGCGGGGGGGCGGCGGAGCAGGAGCAGCCCGCGCCCCCGCCCGAGGAAGGGCCGGGAGGAGAGGGAGGAGGGTCAGCGGTCCGCGCCCCCGACTAAGGCCAGGAGGAGGAGGATGTGGAGGAGGAGGGTGAGCAGCCCGCGTCCCCGCCTGAGGAACAGGAGGAGGAGAACGAGGAGGAGGTGAGGGGAGAGCGCGCGCCCCCGCCCGAGGAAGGTCTGGAGGAGGAGGAGGAGGAGGAGGAGGAGGAGGGAGGTGAGCAGCTCGCCCCTCCCCTTTCTCCCTCCTTCCCACTCTGGCCTCGGAGCGGATGCCCGGGTACCCCGGTCGCTGCCGCCCCGCGCGCTTACCGGCCGTCCGGCTCAGGCCTGGGGGTGTCGGCCGAAGGTCCCCCGGCGCCGCCCGCGTTGAGCCCGGAGGCCCGGCGGCTTCGCCGCCGCGGCCGGGGCTGCTTCTGGGCCGCCAGCTCGGGCTCCATGGCGCGGACGGGGGGGCTGGGGGTGGGGCAGTGGCCGGGTGCCCGGCAGACCCGCTGGGACGGGCACCGCGCCCGACCACTTCTGCCCGGAGAGCAGATCCTGTCAGGAGGGCGCCGCCAGCGCCGCCGCCATCTTCCGGGGTTTGAAAATGGCGGCCGTGCGGCGGCCAGCCAATCGGGAGACAGCGGGCGGTTGCTGGGAAACGTGAGGTCCCGCCCCGCGAGCGCGGAAGTGGAGGCCGGAAAGCGTTATAGTGACGGCCTTGGGTTTGGTTTGTACTCGGTTTCCGAATTCCCAAGGCCGGGTTCCTACCTCACGGCTAATCGATTAGGACTTCCGCCACAGGCCAGGGCGAATTGGAGCCTGAGGTCTGTCCTAGTACTCGGGGGTGAGGGGAGGGTGGGGGGAGAGAGATCGGAAGTGCTGACCCGAACTGAGATTTGGCGGTTGGCCACATAGGAGCTAAATTACTCGTGTGAGGTAGATCCCAGTTACCTCGGGGAACGGAAATGTGCTCTCGGAGCGTCTCTAGGAAACCACCAAAACCCGGGCGCGAGTCGTCCTCGGGGGAGAGAGCCCCTCGCGAGCAAAGGGCGTGAAGGTGCCTTTCATCCTCTAAGTCTGGAAGCAGCAAAAAAGCAGACGTCAAGTAAAGGACCTTCTCCCGTAAAAAAGACGGTCGTTACATAGCACGTGCCTTGATTTTAAATGTCACTTTCTGCGCGTCAGAGGCCAACCGGGAACTTCTCCTTCGACACCATGATCGCATCTCTGGGAATCCATCCTGAGGAGTAAAACTGTCTCGACCTCGAGGGGCGGCAGAAGGGGCCACCCGGGAGGACGGCGCGGGGGCTGCTTGGGCTGTGCGCGCGTGAAAACGCCGGGCGCCGAAGGGGCGCCCTGACTCCCCGGTGCCCCCTGAGCGCTGCGGCGGGGGCTTGCGTGCGGAGAGCTGCGCTCCGGGTACCCGGATGAAGGAAACGCTCTCACTGACCGAGATTGGGGCGACGGAGGAAGCCCAAGGAGGCGGACTTCTGTAGGAACAGCACCCATTAAAGAAACTCTCGCCCTCCTTCGGTCTCATACATTTCAGCTCCTTTCCCGACAGTTGCCTCTTCCTCTGACCTAGGGTGAAAGCCCTAAGATTTTGCCAATTCTCTGGGTCTTCGTTTTCCTATTGGGGCTCCCGCGTACCTGTGAAAATGATTGCTTTTCGCCTGTTAATCTGCATTCTGTCATTTTCACTCTCATGCCCACCCGGACGCCCTGGGAGGACAGAACTGAAATTTTGTTGCCCGTAGACATCAAGATATGAATGATTAATGGCACTGATGTTTATAATATCAGAAAAAGTAAAGAAAGTGAAATAAAAATGATAGGGAAGTGGTTAGTTATAGTTGATCCACTGGAAAGAATATTTTCAGCCCATAAAAATTAACTATAAATGGGGCGCCTGGGTGACTCAGTGGGTTAAATTAAAGCCTTTGCCTTTGGCTCAGGTCATGATCCCCGGGTCCTGGAATCGAGCCCCGCATGGGGCTCTCTGCTGGCTGGGGAGCCTGCTCTGCCTGCCTCTCTGCCTACTTGTGATCTCTGTCTGTCAAGTAAATAAATAAAATCTTAAAAAAAATAACTATAAAGTGTATAATAGGATAGGTACTGTAATTTTGAAACAAAAACATGGAATATAGACATATTCAGTATATTTTGAGTTATGAATTATAAGAGATTTAAAAGAGGAAGAACATGCAATCAATGTATTAAAAATTCACTAAGTAGTCAGACTATAAGTATTGAAATTATTTTTACTTTCTTATATTTCATAATTTTTTAATCATGAGATGCTGAACTTGAATTGCATTTATAACACGAGGAAAAATTCTTGTGTTACAAGAATCATGTTGAGATATTCTACCTTATCCCACTCTCCCCCAGCAATTAAAGAAGAAAGTTTTGCTTTGCAGCAGTTAGAGCTGTCTAAGGAGCTTTCTTTTTTCCCTCAAGTTTATTTATTTAAGTAATCTCTATACCCAAGGGGGGCTTGAACTCAGGACCCTGAGATCAAGAGTCACATGCTCCTCCCACTGAGCCAGCCAGGCTCCCCTAAGGAGCAGGTTTCCATGCAAACAGATTTACAAATATTCTTTTGGGTGTCTTTCTCAAAGATTATTTCAACAGCTAGTAGACTGGTATAAATTACTACACAAACCAATACTTCTAAAACCTAGTCTCTTATACTCTCTAAATAAATCAAACTCTCTTTTTGTAAAACTGCTTACCAAATGATACCTGTCATGCTTGTTTTAGCAACCAGTAAGGTCATACAGTACATACCAGCTGTATGTAAGTGGGGTTATAGAGGGAGAAGTTGGGAATGCCCAGTGTCTTTTATTCGGCCACTTCCAGCAGTCTGCCTGACCCCTCTGCACCACGGATACTTCAGTTCTTTCCCCAAGCCCTCAGATGCATGTTTTGCAGAAAAATGAGAATGAAAAGACTTTTAAAGATATCAAAGCTGTGTAGTCTTAAACCGCCAATGGGAAGGTTACTCTGATGGTAAATGTATTTGATGGAGAAACTGTCCAGTCATCATATCCGACCAGCCAAAGAGTATTGCTAGGCACAACAGGACAGACTGTTTGAAATCAGGCTTGTCGTTTCTTCGAATCTATCAGGCATGTTTGTGTGTAGGGGAAGGGAAAGCTGGTCATTGTTTTGCACCTATCATCTATTTATGATCTTGGTTTGGTTTTGGATATTTCAAGGAGAATAACAGTTAAATTGGAAACTGGAATGACAGCTGGGGGGTTTAAGAGGAATGGAACTTGGGAAGAAAAATGTGTGGCCAGGAGAAGTACAATTAATTAGAAGTAGATTGAGCCGAATTGCTTTTATGCTTAGACTGTCTGGGGAGGAGGCCATTGAAATTTCAAAGTACAGAATTCTGTTAGTTGTGGGGGAGGAGGGAGGTGGGAGGAAAGGGAAGAAGGTAGGGAGGTGGGCACGGTAGAGGTGGGAATGACAATGGAAAGTGATTCTGGCTGTGGCAGCCAGGGCTGCCAACAGAGAATTAGCAAAGATAATATCTTCAGAAATGTCAGAATATCAGTCAGAAAGAATTATTTCTCAGAGCCAAAGAATTTCTTGCTTAGAAGGTTACTTTTTCTCAATCACTTAGCCAGTGAGTTAACTGGCCTATATTGAAAAATAGTTAAGAGATCAACTTTGTAAAGGAAGGAAATCCTAACCATATACCCCACACTTTCATACTTGCAAGTTTTTTTTCCCCACTCTCTTTCAAAGACATAACGACAGCTAACCCATGTGTCCATGAGGATTCTACCAGAGAAATAGAGCTAGTAATAAATACTTATATATGTCTATATTTATATAAAAATGGAGGTTTATGTAGAAGAGAGACTTACGTATTTATATATGAGGTATAAAGTAGTGTGACGTGTGTGTGTGTGTGTGTGTATGGAAGTATATTTCATGGAATGGTTTATGTGACGTGGGCTCTATAAAATCTGAAGTCAGTAGGACAGACTGGAAGGCTGGCAACTCTTGGGTAGGAGCTGAAGCTGGTGCTGCTGCTTTGCTTCTAAGGCCTTTCAACTGATTATATGAGGCCCACCCATGTTATCAAGGATAATATTTACTTAAAGTCAACTGATTGTCTATGTTAACCATATTTACAAAGTGCCTTTTCAGTTACAGATTAGTGTTTGGTTGAATAACTAAGCACCATGGGCTAGCCGAGTTGATACATGAAACTAACCATCACAGCAGAAGACTTCTCCAAACTTGAAATTCCAATTATTATTACTTTAGGGAACTTTATTCCTTTAAGATTTATTGTTTCAAGGAAGAAAGAAATTACTAAAAAAAAAAAAAAAAAAGAAAAGAAACTAATACTAAGATGCATTTCTTAGGTTATATTTCAAAAGAGACTTTTCTAATTCTGTTCTAATTCCTTTGCAAATCTAAGTAATCATAGCTCTAAGTGAGGTTGAGAATTAAAAAAAAAAAATGAAACATACTAAATGTATCAGTGGACCAGAAAAGAGATAATTAAATCATCTGATTTTCCCTTATCTTGTGTCAAACTAAAAATAATCAGGGGCCAATGGGAGAAATTTGACACAGCAACAAAATAAACATGATCCTGCTTTTATAAAATGAAACCGGCTTATTCTTTGCCTTTATTATATGGAACTACCAGAACCCTAAAAATTTGGGGGATTATTGGCAGATAGAGACAGATGGGACTGACTTTATGAAGATCAAATTCTGTGACAAGTAGAACTCATAAATTCAGGAGAAAACTGCTGGAGTACACATGATTAAAGGAGCTCCCCATGCAGAATCAACAGATACAAGATGCAGAAGGAGTTTTAATGATTTGGAATCATTAAATTGGAAGGTACATTTGGAGCAGGTGGGTCAACAAGCCTCTTCCCCCTCCTCTGCTTGCAAAGTCTACTTGCCCATTGGCTAAAGCAGTGAGTGGGGACCCGAAGCTGGAGAGATGGAGCAGTGCTTCAGGACTATTCCAGGGAAGATGGGGAACACAAAAGCAGAAGACAGATAGAAGCCACTCCAGCAGTACATTCCAACCTTCCACCTTTATCACCAGAAACAGGCTGTAGAAAATAGCACCCACAGGCAGGCAAATAGAGGTCTAAGACAAAACAGGATAAAAGATAAAATCATGACTGTTAAAAGATTTAAGGAAAACCTTCACAATGAGAGGGACATCAAAATCCTAAAGGGGAAAGAATTAGAACACAAGGAAAGAAACAGAAGACTTCACAAACACAAACAGAAGACTTCAAAGGGAGAGGTGAGATGCCAATTCAGCCATGAAAAGAAAATACACTAAAATTCTGGTCACTTAAAAATAAATGGGGCTCAGTCAGTTGAGCGTCTGCTTTCGGCTCAGGTCATGATCTCAGGGTCCTGGGTCGAGCCCACATAGGGTTCCCAGTTCTGTGGGAGTCTGCTTCTCCCTCTCCCTCTGCCCTTCCACCTGCTTGTGCCCTCTCTCTCTCTCTCAAATAAATAAATAAAATCTTTAAAAAATTCTATAAAATAGAATAAAACTAAACCAAAAGACACATCGATAGCAGAACCAATGCAGATGAAAAGCAAACCAATCGGCCAAAAGTTCTAGCTGAAGAATTCTCCAAGAACACAATGCAAAGACCCAAGGGAAAGGAAAGTATGAAAGAAGAATATAGAGTCAAAAGAGCAACACTAAAAGTTTTAACTTTTATCTAACTAGAGTCCAGGAGAGAGAACAGGCAGTATGGAGAGGAGAAAATAACTAAATTAAAAAGCCCAGGCCCAAGAAAGAGTAAGACCTGAG